AGAGCACGCATCTTCTCCTGCAGTGTTCTGTTCATCCTTTCTGCTACCCCCATCTGTTGGTGTGCATGCGGCAGAGACTGCTTCCGTTTGATGCCGAATGTCTGAAGGTAGTCTGTGAAAGTGTTGCTGGTGTACTCGCCTGCACCATCACTCTGAAATTCTTGCAGTTTCGCGCCAGACTCCCGTTCAACGACAGCGAGCCATGCGACGAAAACAGAGTGAGCGAGATGGCGCGCAGGTAAGTTAGCTGTCCAGACATATCGTGTAGACGCTTCGATGAATGTTATCACATACTTCTCGTCTTTAGGGCCTGCTTCAGACAAATTGAGTATGTCGCTGTAGACTTTCTGCATCAGTTGATAACGCGTTGAGCCGGGAAAATGACTTGGAAACGGATCGTGCGTAAGGTTGGCAACTGGACAAGTGGTGCAAACCGTCGGACGAGACTGCGGCTTCATCTCCGTGCCATCAGGTAAAAGTAAACTATTTTTATCAAGAACTGCTGCTCGGATTGAATGATTAAGAATCCCTTGTGATGGATGTCCTAGTCGCTGATGCCATATATCTTCCGTGGCTTTGTGTCCTGATGATCGCAGGTAAAAATCGGAGTTAGTATAAAAGGAAGAAAGAATGAAAGGAGAAAGGGCTGGTGACTTGTCAATTTCTCCTTCGACGAAACGGTGAAGAGGTAACGTGACTTGTGATATTGCTGCTGCAGGTGCGAGTATAACCCCTGATACTGCTTCTGTTGATGTCGTGGCAGGTGTTTCGGCGACAGCTACGGTTGGACTCGGCTGCTCAGCTACGGCTTCCTGTTCTGCTTCTTCAACAACGTCAGGTTCATCAGCGGCAAGACCACTGATTTCTCCCCAAAGTGGTGCTGGAGTTCCTTGGAAGGCTGCACGGGTATTATAAAACGTTCGCCACGCGGTGGCGCTTTCATCGGCGGTATTGAACTCCCAGGTATCCAACGCGGTAAGTACTGCGGCTGCTGTTCGAGAAGCTGTTGGTACTAAAGTTGCCAGAAAATCAATGTCCACATGTTGATAATCTGTTTCTTCTGGGTGATCCCAGGGACCAAGTGCAAGCACGTGTTCAGAATCTCCAGAAGTTCCCTGTGCTGCGAACTGAAGAACTGACACGCCATGTTGAGTGGCGGCACGACCAAGGTAGGTATTAGTTGTACTGTGCCACAGCTCTTGATCCATCGTCTCACAATTTCCTTGTGTACGGATTTTGTGTGCCAGAAGTTGAGCCGTCGAAAGAAGGTTGAAGCCAAGTCTGGCGACGATAAGAACATTCGTAACATGAAGTGAGTATCACGTGTCGATAGATTCGAGCATGGCACTGCCAACTGATGGTGCCATTATCGTTTGTCCGTTTGCGACTGTGACAGGTATCGGACGACGAAGTGGACGCTGATTAGTGATAAAGCTTGTTTCGGCAGAACACATATGCCATCCGCAGCAGCTGTCGAGATACCAGGTATTTGGTCCTGAAATTATGCGAGCAAGGTTAGCGTAAACTTGAGGTAAAGGAATGCCTTCAGCACTTGTTGTTTCTTCAAGTCGTCTTTCGAAATCTGTTTCTGAAATATCAACTGTGGTGACGCAGTCAAAAACCCCTTTTCCTGATGTGGCAGATGCGAAAACCGGCGGACGATGCTGCGACGTAGATGGATTTGGTGGTGGTTTCGGTATCTGCTGCTGCTGAGACGTTAACTGCTGCTGTGGCAGTTGTGTCTTCGGTAACTGCTGCGATCGTTGATACGGCTGCGAAGTATTGCGACGATTTTGTTGACGGCTGCGACAGTTTTTGTAAGTATGTCCTGGTTTCTTACAGAAATGGCAGAACGGGTACTTTGGTGGATGTCGATGTTGTGTTTCTGGATTGGAGATAAAACTTAAATGAACTCCCCTTTTCTAGTTGCGTTGTGACTGCAGGTCAAGATCTTGCTGCTCTGCTTGAAGATAAAAAGAAATTTCAGCTTCGGAGAGGTCGGGATTCATGCGCAAGAAGGCGCGCGTCTGTCGCCATTCGGGTCCAAGGCCAGCCAGAAGGACTGTGAGATACATCTTACGAGGGAAATATCCTCCGCTTTTCTCCAGTTGGTCACGTAATGTACGGACGCGATTAACGTAGTCCATGACGTTTTCATTTGTCATCATCTGCACACTTGTCAGCTGCGAAAGTATTTTACTCACAGTTATCGTATCTTTTGTCATGTATACCCCTTTCAGATCGTTCCATGCAGTTTCGGCTGGTGTAAAACTTGAGTGAAATGATCAAACGCCGAGCTGCTCCTTCGGTAACAAGTTCCGTACAAGAACTGTATACGCCCCAAGAGAGGCGTGCAAGAAACTCTGCTGCTCCAGTTGTGTTCCCGTAACATGATAGGTGAATTCTCCGGTGAAGAATGGCCAAAGGCCAGCGGACTGCGCCAGAAGCTCAAACTCGAAGCTCCAAAAGTAGAAGTCGACACCATTAAAAGGTATGGTCGTCTTGATTTGAGTATTGTTAAGTAAATTTGGAGGCTGAAAAACAACGCCTGGCTGTTGCTGTTGTTGCTGTTGCTGCTATTGCTGTTGCTGTACTTGCTGTGGTTGCTGAGACTGCTGTTGTTGTTGCTGAGCACGAGAACGACCGAAGATATAAAAAGGATGCTGAAACTGCTGTGACTGCGGCTGCTGTACGAAAGGTGAGAAAGCGAACGAACCAGTACTTGGAGCTGTAGCTCCACGCATGTAACTTGAGCCGTCAAGGCTCATTCCACTGAACGCAGATGAAATCGATTGCGTTGAAACTGATGGCTGTACTGACTCTTGTTGCTATGTTGTCGTCTGTGATTGTTGCTGTTGCGTTGCAGGTGCAGTCGATGGAGCACCTGGAGTATTCACAGAAGGCGGATTCTGCTGTTGCATACCGATATTAGTGTAGGCTGGTGGAAAATGCCCAGAGGCTGAGAGACCAGCGGCCGTAGTGGAGGCAAATGCTCCAGTAGTCCCAGTAACTGATCCGGCAGATGGTGCTGGTGATGAACCAGTCATAGTTGACGGTAGTCTTAATTCCAGATAGCTCTCATTCTCAAACATGTGTATCTCTTATACTTTGCGTAGACTGTATAGGGTCATCTCTTAGAGGGTACAACACTTAGACATATTCCTGTACTGTCTCTCTCTCTCTCTCTATTCATTCATTCAGTTTCTAAGATGGTATCAGCAGTAGGTAGGTCCCGCTCACCCACGCTTCCGCTCTAGGACCTACCCGCCCTAGTCGCGCCTGCCCTAGCCGCGCCCGCCCTAGTCGCGTCCGCCCTAGCCGCGCCCGCCCTAGCCGCGCCCTAGCCGCGCCCGCCCTGCGCGCGACCTCCCCTCGGCCCTAGCGCCCGTCCTGGCGGCCCCGTCGCACCCGCCCTAGCGCCCGTCCTAGCCGGCCTCGCGCCCCGCCCTAGCGGCCCCTCGTGCCCGCCCTAGCGCCCGCCCTAGCGGCCCCGTCGCGCCCGCCCTAGCGGCCCCTCGTGCCCGCCCTAGCGCCCGCCCTAGCGGCCCCTCGTGCCCGTCCTAGCGACCGCCCTAGCGGCCCCTCGTGCCCGCCCTAGCGCCCGCCCTCGCGGCCCCTCGTGTCGGCCCCTGCGCCCATCCCAGCCGGCCCCACGGCCGCCCTCGCGACCTTCGCGCCCTGCCCGCTCGGCCCCTGCGCCCGTCTCAGCCGGCCCCGCGCTCGTCCCAGCCGACCCCCGCGCCCTGCCCGCTCTGTCAGCGCTTCGGCCCGTCGCCAGACCTCCCGGACTGGCACAGTTTGCTTAGTCGTAGTATTCCGATTTTTGACTTGGACATGGATGCCATTGTTTCTACTCTGCATGTGATCTATGCAGATGACTCTAGTGTGCTTCCCGCTTATTACTCATTGTCGTCTAGTGTAGGTATACCTAGCTTAGCCTCCCTTGCTGCGTCAGGTGTAGGAGCCCCTGCTTTGTTTAGCCTTGGTGCCTCCGCCGTCGCCCCGTCGCCGGACGCCACTGCTTCGCTTTCCTTCACCTTGGACTCTGGCGCTTCCCGGTGCTTCTTCCGCAACTTCACTACACTGACGCCGCTTCCTGTTCCTGCCGCTGTTTCTCTTGCTGACCCCTCCGGCGGTCCGGTAGTCGCCCGCAGCTCCACCACTCTTCCCTGTCCGGCAGTTCCCTCGGGCTCTCTCACAGGTCTGCATATCCCCTCGTTCTCCAGGAACCTAGTTGGTGTCGGCTGCCTCCAGGACCTTGGCGTCACCACTACGTTCCCTGGTCACGAGCGGTATGCTGTCTGTACCGAGGCTGCAACAGGTGCCCCTCTGTCCACGTTCCCCCGGAACCCGGTGTCCGGCCTGTTCACCCTGGACACCGTGACCCCCCCGGCTGGGGCGCCCCTCCAGGTGGCTGCGTCTTCCCAGGTTGCTGCTGCCTGCTCCTGTCGGTCTCTCACTCACCCGACTCTCCTTTGGCACCACCGTCTATGTCACCCTGCGCTCACGCGTCTGCGTTACATGTCCCAGCACGGTCTCGTCCTTGGTCTCCCTGGTTCCCTCCCCCCTTTTCCCTCCTCCCCTGCCCCGCCTTGACCAGCATTGACCAGCAATGATTTTTCAGCATTGACCAACAAAAAAAGCCCAGCCAAAAAGCCTTGCTACCACAGAAATCCCTGAAAAAAGGCTGAATCAGCGTAAAAAGTCCGATATCTAGGGGCCTGCGCGTGACTGAAACGACTGTCCTATGACGAGCGCTATTTGCTGACGTCATCCTACGGACTTATCTTCTACAGTATGATTCGACACTAACTACACATAATCGACTTACAGAAATGCTAAGTATCAATTATATCACAACAAGCGCAACCATTGCAGACTGTCAAAGGTTATGTGTGATCACATGAAAACATTAAATGAAGATAAATCACGTTTGTTTCAGCTGTGCGCTGGAGATGATCATGCTAGCCTAGTAGGCTAACAAAATGTGAGCCATAGAGGCAGCCCAGTTCCTAAGAGCGCAGCGGCTAATGTAGCGTCAGCAAACCCCTGGATGGTTGTGGTATCAGGGGCCAGAAACCTCTGCCCATACATTCGCCCTGCCGCTATGGCCATCTCGCATGTCCTCGCGCGCCCAGCCCTGCCAGCGCAGCTTCACCTCCGTTCGCCCGCACGACCCCAATGCCACGTGGCGTCACACTCGGCCCGTCTACCGTTCGAGTTCTCCCCTCTTGTCCGTGACAGCCGGGCCTCTCCAGCGGTGCGCACAGGGCTTCGCGGCAAGCCTCTCCACGGCACCCGCGGTAGAATCAGGCAGCGCCTTGCGCCAGGCGCGGCCGTGGATGCAAGGGGCGATGCGGGGGGTTTGACGGGGGACAGGGTACGGGCGGAGGGGGAGAAGCGCAGAGCAGGTGAGCGGTCGGAGGAAGGGGATGGCGAGGCGGATTTGGGAGTTGAGAAGATGAGTCAAGGAGAGTGTGAGGAGGAGGGGGAGGAGGAAGAGGAGGAAGAGGAGGAGGGGGAGGAGGGGGAGGAGGGGGAAGAGTATGAGGAGGAGGGGGAGGACGAGGAGGAGTGGGATGAGGACTGGGACGAAGACCAGGAGGGGGAGGAGAGGGCGGAAGGCGCAGCGAGCGGAAGGGGCGGAGAGCCGCCAGTGTGGGAGGGGGAGGGCGTGGAGGTGGGGGTGATAGTGGGCGCGCACGGGCTGCGGGGCGAGGTGCGCGTGAAGCCGCTCACGGACTTCCCGGAGCAGCGATTCGGACAGGTGGGCGGGGGGGGGGGTGGGAGGGGGTTGATGGCGGTGCATGTGGTTACCACACGCCATGGGCGCTTGATAGCGTCGCCAGCTCAGCAAATGGCGACTCACTACACGCTCTGCCCCACACGCGCCCTCGTTCTCTTCCCTTTGTGTCCCGTGCACTGCCTCTTCACTGCGCCGTGGCGTGCCATGGCTGTTGCCTTGTGTGCTTCTTCACTGCAGGGCGGGTGGCGCTGGTTGAAGCGGCCAGGCAGGCCAGCCGCGCCGTCCCCTCGTGCCGCACCCTCTGCCGTGCCGCCACCACCAGCTACCGCTGGAGGTGCGGCGGCAGAGGCAGCAGCAGGGGTGCAGGGTGGAGCAGTTGTGAGCAGCGTGTGGGTGCGGGGCGGACGGCCAGGCCCTGGGCGGTATGGGCTGTGGCTGGTGAAGCTCAAAGGCGTGGAGAGCGCGGAACAGGTGATGCACGGGGCATGGGTGCACGGATATGGCTGGGTAGCTGTGTTGTTAGGGCGGTGGGATGACGTTATGGTGTGCGGTGCATCATGTGCATAGCATTCGTGGTGTGTCACATCCCCATGCACACACCATCTTGCACAGAAGCAGCCGTTGCATCCCGCCTTCACTTTCCGCCGTTCCCAGCAAAGCCAACGCGCTCTTCTCCCTGTGTGCTGCTGCGGTAATGGCATGGCATGGCATGACAGGCGGAGGCACTGCGCGGCAGTGTGATGATGGTGCCTGTGTGGGAGCGGCCTGAGCTGGAGGAGGACGAGGTGTACTCCAGCGACCTCATCGGCCTCCAAGTGCTGCTCAAGGTCTCTCCTCTCCCCGCGCCCACCTCCTCTCGCCCCTTCATTCTTCTCTCCGTTTCTACTCACACCCCACTAGTAGTTCCGCCTCGCACCCCTCCTCTTCCTGTCTGCACTGCACTGCACCGCATCCTCATCCACGCCCTCTGAACCCCCCATGCTGCAACCCCGCATGCTGCAACCCCCCATGCTGCAACTCCCCATGCTGCAACCCCGCATGCTGCAACCCCCCATGCTGCAACTCCCCATGCTGCAACCCCCCATGCTGCAACCCCCCATGCTGCAACCCCCCATGCTGCAAACCCGCATGCTGCAAACCCCCCATGCTGCAACCCCGCATGCTCAACCCCCCCTCTGTCCCCCGTGCACCAGGAGGGCGGGGTGCCCATAGGCGTGGTGGAGGACGTGTACAGCGGAGGGGGGGCGGGGGAGCTGCTGCGCGTGCGCCTGCACACAGGGGGGAAGACGGCGGAGGGGGCGGACGGGGCGGGAGGGGGGGAGGCAGGGACGAAGGCAAAGAAGCAGAGCAAGGAGAAGAAGAAGCAGGGCAAGGGGAGAGGTGGGAAGGGCGATCGGGCGAGTGGCAGGGGGGCGTACGTGTGGATTCCGTTTGTGCGCGCCATCGTGCCGCTCCTGGACCTGCAGCAGCGCCGCATCGTGGTGGACCCTCCCCCTGGCCTGCTGGAGCTCAACCAGCGGGCAGCGGGCAAGGCGGAGCAGGCGCAGGAGGGGGAGGGCGAGGAGGGGAGCACAGAGAACATGGTGAGTGGCCGCATGCAGGCCATGGCTTAATAGCAATGCCACACACTCTCTCCTTCTTGCTGCTGCACTCTCCTGCCTCGCCCTTCCCGCTCCCCTGTCTTCCCTGAGCAGGAGCCATTTCTTCTCTATCCTTGTGCCCCTCTCTCCACCCTCCGTGCTCTCTCTCCCCCTGCCTCTCCGCCAGTCCGCCCAGGAGCGCAGGAAGCGGCAGCAGCGGCGGCGGCAGGTGGCGGAGCGATATGGGGAGGCGGGGCAGCAGCACGTGGTGCAGTGGGTGGAGCAAGCTGTGCGGCTGGCCAAGGCAGCAGCACAGGCAGGCGGCGAAGGCGGGGCAGCAAGTGGGCCTGTGGACGTGGATGCGGCGCTGCAGCAGCTGCTGTCGGTGGACCTCAGGCGAGTGTCTCACGCCGTGCAGCGCGCCCTAGCGCACAGGGAACACCTGCACCAGCTGCCACTGCCCGTGCCTGTGCCCCAGTGGCCCCTCGTCCTGCACCGCTCCCCCCTCCCCACTAGCGCACAGGCGGCGCAGCAGTCCGACGCGCGCACAGCTGGCGAGGCCTGGCCACTGAGAGGGGCGCCGGGTGCTGAGGGGCCAGTAGGGGGGAGGGCGGACGGGGCGGAGGGCTTGGAGACGGAGGGCAGGCAGGCAGTGCGGGAGGGGAGAGTGGCCGTGGTGGCGCTGCTGGGTGCTGCTGCTGCGGGCGACGCTGTGAGGGAGGGGGGCGGCAGTGGAGCAGGGGGAGGAGCAGCGGGCATGGCGCGACAAGTGGAGGAGTACGTGAGGCGGGACACAGCGAGGCTGAGGAAGCAGATGAATGCCGTGGACCAGTGGAGGGATGCTGCGGTCAGTGCACAGCACACCACATGCCACCCACTGCCATGGCATGGCACGCTGCAGTTTTGTGTCATGCACATGTTCCCTGTTACTATTGCAGCGCACGCTTCTGGCTTCTCTCCTCCTCAATCCCTGCCCTTGCGCCTTCTCTCTGGCCTCCCTCACGCATCTCGTGTACAGCCAATCCGCATGCCACCGCACCTGCGGCACCACCATGTGCATGCTGCACGCTACCACCCACTGCCATTCACATTCCTTGTAGAATCGCCTCACCTCGCACCACCACTTCCTCCCTGTTATTGTGGTGCCAGCAGGGCTCTCCCCCCCTGCCCTGGTTGCTGGTGGTGGACGACACTGCATCGCCCTTCAACCTGCACCAGTCGCTGCTTGCTGCCGCGCCCACCACTCAGGTCACCCACGCCATGCCTCCTGCATCCCGCTTTCCTGCTCTTCCACCTTGGGCCCTCACTCCCGCAAGCTCTCCCTCACTGCCTTCCTTCCCCTAGCCTTGCAATTTCTTTCATTTGCCAGCCCTTGCTTTCTCAGCTGCAAGCTGGTGCTGCACGAGGAAATGCGCCACACGAGGCGAGCAGCACCGCATAGCAATCCACTACGACGGCCCCATGCACGTTGCACTCATGTCTCGTTCCTCAATTCTCCCCTCTCCCTCCACAGCCCTCCTGGATTCCTCTCCCCCAATGGCCACTCTTCTCACTCAACCCCCGCCTTGCCACCAGCCCCTCCAACCCGCCTCCCTCCTCCTCCTCGTCGCCCCCCCCCTCGTTCCGCATGCTTCTTCACCCGCTGCCACCGCCTGAAGCCGAGCTTCCAAGCGCCACGCGGTGCGTGGCGCTGCAGATGGCGTCAGGGGGCGAGGGGTGTCTCTTCCTGGCGCTCAAAGACGCCGCCGTGCTGCGAGGGCTGGCCAAGCAGGGCGTCAAGCACCTCCTGGTGAGAGGGGGGGGCACATGCCCCATTTTGAGGGGGGGGGCACATGCCCCATGGTGAGAGGACTGCAGGTGCAGGGGTGAGTGGCACACGTGACTTTAGGAGCACTGAGGGACCTGGACAGGTAAAAGCCAAGGCGGGGAGCACAGGGAATGGATGGTTGGCGATATGTGGGAGTGCCATGGTGATAGGAGATACACCTTGTATCATTACGCGCCAAGAGCTCGCTTCGTTTCAAGCTGTACCCCTTGACCGCTCCTCTGCCCCCCCACCACCAGGTGTTGCTGCATCCTACAGCACAGCCCGATCCAGCCCTCATTGCCGCATGCATCCACTCCAATGCTGACGTGGCAGTCGCTGCGTCAGCGAGTACCACTGCCAGCTCAGCAGGCGTGCTGGTGGAGGGTGAGAGAGGTGGGCAGCAGGTGCTGCGGCTGGCGGCGTTTCCATCTGAGCAGCAGGGAGAGGGGCGTGAGCATGGTGCCGGCACTGGCATTGGGAATGGCAGTGGGAGTGAGGGCGGTGGCAAGAAGAAAGGGAAGGGCAAGGGCAAGGGCAAGGAGGATGAGAGGAGGTCCAGTGGGGTGAGGCTGTATGTGCTGGAGGGAGGTGAAGTGGCTGGGACAGATTCACACGTGCATTCCCTTGACCTCTTCCCAGACCAGCTGGTTGTTTCCATGAAGTTTCTCAAGTGGTTAGATCCCATGCAGGTGCCCTTCCAGCTGCACCCCCCTTCACCGCTGGAGCAGCACCTGCCAGCACCACAGACAGCAGCGGGTCGGGCAGCACGGGGGGAGGATGCAGTGGGCGGGATGGATGGTGGGATGGCTGTGAGGCAGCGGGCGATGGATGTGGTGTCCATGTGCGATGCATGCCAGGTGAGACGAGGGGCATGCCTTCTGGAAGGGTAACTGCATGATACTTGGTTGCTGCTCCACCCTGCTCTGTGTGTGCGTTTGCCTGCCTCATTCTGCGTGGCGTGTCTGCTGTGTCACCTTGCAGGTTGCCGTGCTGCTGGATGGACCCTTGGCTCAGCTCTGATGCAATCCTTCCCACCATACTGGCAATGTCGTCGCGGTTGCACACAACATGCACTCTAGTTGCGGCCCACTTGTTCTTCTGCACTGCCCCTAGCTAGAAGGCTCATGGCTTCAAATGATCAAGTCAAATCTGCTATTTGAAGTTCCTTGGACGTTTACTTGCATCACTTTTACATAGCCATAAGTAGGTGCACATGAGTGGAGTCGTTTTAATGCACATGAAGTTGAGCCCACATCCTTATCCGCTGTTTGAGTGCAGACCTCCAAACGCGTTCAAATAATACGACCAGCATTTACGGTTTGCGACGCCGAATCTGACTGCAGCTCGTCGCATGTGCGACACTCCTTCCCCTAGCTCGCCCTCAAATCTTCTCCCCTCCGCCGCATGCTCGTCCCCCTTGGCCCTGCATCCTCGCCCCTGCATCCTCGCCCCTTCACCGCTCACGTGCAGCCCTCTCCCCATGATTGCTGTTGTTCCACCTCGCGTGCCCTGCTGCCTCCTCTCAGCTACCTCTCCCCCCTCGCTCCTTATCTCCTCTCTTCCCATCGCCCACATCCGCAACACTCGCTCGCTCGTCCATTAGTCATGGCGGGCCCTCCGCGTATCCCCTCCGCCCGCCGCATCCTTCTCCTCGCCGCGCTCCCCTGCGCCTGAGCCTGCGTCTGCGGGCCCATCACCCCTAAATCCCGCTCGTCTCCGCCCTGCCCTTGCGAGATCCGCCCGTCTCCCCTCGGCCTCCCGCTCTTCTGTGCCCGCATCGCCCGCGTCCGCCATCGGTGCGCCCTGCCGCCCCTGCCGCCCTGCCGCACGTCGTTTCCTCGCCTCTTCAAAGCCAGCCACCACGGCGACCCCACGCGCTGTCAAGTCGCGCCGCATGTCGCTGGACGACACCAGCGGCACCGCCGCCTCCGCAGCGGCGGCAGCGGGTGGCAGCGGCGCGGGCGGGAATGCGGAGGCGATGGACGAGGAGGAGGGATCGCAGGGCGACGGCATGGGGGGGATGGGCGGCGGCAACGGCGGGGGCAGCAGCGGGGGCGACGGCAAGGCGTCGCTGGGGGAGCTGCGGAGCCGGGGCGAGTGGAGCCGCGAGGCGACGGCGGTGCTGCTGGAGGCGTGGAGCGACAACTACCTGGCGTCGGACCAGGGCAACCTCAAGGCGGCGCAGTGGGAGGAGGTCACGTCGCGCGTCAACGCGCGGGGCGGCGGCGGCAAGGCGGCGAAGACGGTGGTGCAGTGCCGCATGAAGCTGGACTCGCTCAAGAAGAAGTACAAGGCGGAGCGCCTGCGATGGCGGGGACTGAGCCGGTGGGAGCACTACAAGAAGCTCGACCAGCTCATCGGCGGCCACAAACGCGTCGCCGGGGCCGGCGGCAGCAGCGCCGCCGCCATGGGTGAGGATCTGGAGTCGTCGGGCGTGGGGGGCGGCGGCGGGATGAGCTCCGGAGGGGCCACTCTCCCCGCCACGCCTGTGTATCCTGCCGTCGCCTCCGCGCCCGCCGCCGCGCTGTCCGCAGGGGGGTTGGGCGGGCCGGCAATGGGCACGGTCATGGGCATGCCGCCGGCGGACGGCACCTACTTTCTGCACAACATTGCGGCGGGCGGCATGGCTGGCAGGTTCGTGGGGGCCGGCAGCGGCAACGGTGTGCTTGTGCCGGGCGGCATGCCGCCTCTGCCCGCGGTGGGCATGGGGCTTGGGGGCGCGGGCAGAGGGGGGGGCATGGGGGTCTCTGCTGGTGCCGGGGGAGGGCCCCCGCCCATGGGGGTTTTACACGGGGCTGGAATGGGTGGCAACGCGTGTTTAAGCAGCGGGGGGGCGGTGGGCACGGGGAGGGGTGGCGCAGGGGGCTTGGGGGCGCGCAGCAGCATGATGTGCGCGGGTGCGGGTGGGCCAGTGGCGAACGGCGATGGCAGTGGCGCGTGTGGTGGCATCAAGTGGGCGGCTGCGCCCATGGACCGGCAGGGGGAGTGCGTGGGGGAGGGCGGAGGGGAGGTCAGAGGTGCAGGGGGGATGGGGATTGGCGGAGTGCGCTTGGGCGGGCTGGCGGGGCAAGCGGGGCCATCAGCAGGGGTGGGGCCGGGAGGAGTTGGCGGAGGGGGGGGTGGTGCGCCCCCCCTGATGCCTGGAGCGGCGGAGGCCTTCCTCTCGCCCGCCTTCTTGCCCGTGGGCGCTCCTGCCGCCGCCTTTGCTGCCAGGCCGCGCACAGGCGTGGAGGGCGGTGACGTGGCAGTGGCGGGTGAGAGCCCCGGGTCGACAGCATGCAACCGCGGGGAGGAGAGGGCGGAGGAGGAGGACGAGGAGGAGGAAGAGGAGGAGGATGAAGAGGGTGGCGGGGAGGGAGCAGCAGGGGCACTGGGGCAGTATGGGCGAGTGGAAGGGCAGGGAGGGGGAGGGGGATTAGGGGGGTGGCATTGTCCGCAGGGCTGGGCACGGCAGCAGGGGCAGGGGGGGAGCGACAGAAGCGCATGCGGCGGTGGAGAGGGGGGTATGAGGGGAGCCGGCGCATGGGGAACGGTGATGCAGGTACAGGCGGGCAGGAGGCAGGCATGGGGGCGATGGGGGGCATGGGGCAAGCAGTGGCGGGTGGGGAGGGAGTGGGCGGGGCAGCAGTAGCAGCAGCAGCAGCGGCGGCGGTGGTGGGTGGGGACGACTCGGTGCGGAGCTTGGCGGAGGCGATCAGCAGCTTTGGTGAGCTGTACGCGCGCGTGGAGGTGGAGAAGCAGCGGTACCTGGTGGCGCTGGAGCAGCGGCGTATGGAGTTCCAGCGCGAGCAGGAGACGCGCAAGATGGAGGTGCTGCGCGACATGGAGCTCAAGCGCATGGAGATGGAGATGAAGTTCCAGCTCGAAATCGCGAAGCTCGCCTCGCCCTCGCCCACCACGCACCTCCCGCAACCCCCCTCCTCATCCCCATCTCCCGCGGCCGCTGCTGCTGCCACTGCGGGTGGTGCCGGCACTGCGTCCACCCCCCTGGTCCACGCCCATGCTCGCGGCTTATCCGCCCCCTCACCTGTCCCATGGCCCCTCTCCTCGCCCGCTGCTGCATCCCAGCACCACCTGCCGTCGCCCATGGCCACGGCTCCCACCGCATCTCACGACCCCAGTGCTGCCCATGGCCTCGCGCACCCCTCCACATGTGACCCCTCGCCCACTACCCATCCCGCCGCCTCCCACCCGCCCTCCACTGCCCCATCGGCCCCCCAGCATTGCTCCTCACAGCCTGCCTCCCCCCCGTGCCCTGCTGCTGCAGCTGCTGGTGGTGCCAGTGGTGGTGTGGAGGGCGGGGCAGGCGGCAAGGGGCGCGGTGGGCCTGAGGATGGGAGGCAGAGCGAAGAGGAGGGGCTGGGCCATGGGGAGGGGGGGGAGGAGGAAGGGCAGGATGCATTGGAGCGACAGACGTCAGAGGAGGGGGAGGGGGGGAGTGAGCAGGAAGAGGAGGAGGAGGAGGACACAGAGGCACACTCTGACTCGCCGAGCTAGCTAGCCTGTCTAGGGTTTAGGGCCTGCCTCCAACACCACCTGCACCTCCCGCCCACCACCAAGCCGGTCTTTTGTCCCATTTATCCGACACCCATTTCACTCTCTCGACTTCCCTCGCAGCACCGCCGCCTCTCATTCTCGCTGGTCTGTGAGTGCTGCACAGCGTGCATGTGACACAGCTCATTGCTTGCGGTGCATGCAGCTGGGGGTCCATGGCGCCTTGCACAATACCCTGCAAGGATCTAGAAACACAGCTGCGATTCACATGCAATGGCACCAACCAAGGCGTGTTGTCGACCCGGCACTTGACATTAACCTACAGCATACGCTGTGTATGGGTTAGCGCATCGCTCGCGTTGCATGTGTTGCAAGCACCTTAGAGAGCCATGTGGCTAAGCACACATGTAGGTGAGACCACGGTTTGATCCCCATTTGTGTTGTCTCTACTTGCATGAAAGCTGTTAGTGATACACCAACCACCAGGATGGATGAAGTGCACGGACAAGACAACAAGCTGGGGGAAGACTGAGCTTCAGGCTGTGTGCAGAAAAGCATGTGGTGCAATGTTCTATCCACATGGTTGCCATGGACACTGTTTCAGGGGGGTCAAGCACATCACATTCCTTGCTGGGCCACACTCTGTTCCGACAGGCAAGACAGCTGGAAATGGAGTCGCAACTCACACACTCATTTACATGCTCGTAAAGAAACGCCACCCTTTGCCCATACTCGCTGCGAGCCTCATTTACACTGAACTAGCCTCGTTAGCCCCCCGGAACTGCTGCTCCTTCCATGGCAGTTGAAGCAGGCGTGGCCTGCAGCAACCCCTTCATCTTCTTGCACTCCATCCATTCGCGAATGAGGGAGCGCAGGGCGTGGTTGGGCGTGAGGTGCAGGTGCGGCAGCGGCATGAGGGTTTTGGGGGACAGCGAGCTCACAGCCAGCCACTCCCTCGCCGCACTCTCCTCGTATGTGTGGCCGTCCGCTGCCATCACGGGCCACTGCATCACCTCCTGCCAGCAGCGCACACGGAGCAGTGGCACGAGGGGCAGGGATGGAAGGGGGAGACGGGATTACGGGTCATGGCACGTGCGTGGGGGCACATGGAACGAGAGTTGATGGGGCTCAACGAATTGCCATCCCAGCTTCAAAACCCAACAGATGTGGAGGGACATGGGGGGGGTTAAGGAGAGCTAAGTGTCAAGTGCAGTGCTCTCACAGCATGATGCTCCCCCGGTGCCCCCATGGCATGCGCTCACCAGAGTGATGGGGCATCTGAAGGCGTTAGGAGCCACCTCCCACACCGCCTCCTCTGCACCGCCACCGCCACCACCACCGCCGCCCTCCATGCCCTGCAGTTGTGCCCGCCGCCGCTGCAGCACCATCTGCTGCTGCAGCGCCACAGTCGCCGCCTCTGCCTCCTCCGCCGCCCGAAACGACTCCACTGCCGGCCGCAGCTGCTGCAGCACTGGCAGTACGCCGCCCACTACGTCGGGGCGGTCCCTGCGCTTGACTGCGGTGCACTGGCGCGCCAGCCCCGCCACCTCCATGGCCACCTTGGGCGGCCAGCGCGCCGCGGGGTCCGTGAGGCGGTGCAGCAGGTCCAGGTCGCCGTCTGCTGCAGCCTCGTCCAGCTGCGCTATGAGCCCCTTCACGCGCCCGCCGCTGCTCGTGGCGCCCAGCAGGTCGTACAGCAGCATCCCAAAGGCGTACACGTCCGTGCGGCCGCAGAAGGCGTTGGAGCGCAGCAGCTCCGGGCACGCGTAGCCGAAGCCCAGTGCGTCCATGGGGCCCGACATGCTGTCGTCGCCCACCGTGCGCTTCATGACGCGCGCCACACCCACGTCCGTTATCTTGGCCACCAGCTGCCCGTCCAGCAGCACCGACGTAGGCTTCAAGTCAAAGTGCACTATCGGGTGCTCCCTGCGCCCCACCCACCACATGCAACGCCAGGATCATGAGCTCCCAGTACACCCCACCATGGACAGCAGCAAAAGACAGTCCGCAGGCAGTTCGGGCCATGGCAAACACGCTTTGAGGGTGGCCTGCAGGGAGCATAGTGCAATGGGTTACCGGCAGTGCAGGTGGGCGAGTGCAGCGGCGATGTTGGCAGCGATGTCAAAGCGCTGGTGCCACAGGAGGGGCGGCGAATTGTTGGCGCACAGCAGGCGGTGGTACAGTGAGCCGCTGGGCATGAGCTCGTACACCAGGCACGGGGGCGACCGGCAGCACCCCAGCAGCAGCACTATGTTGGGGTGCCGCAACCTGCTGCCCAGCCGCACCTGCACACAGACACACGTGGCAGGGAGGGAGGGGAGAGCAGGGGGAGGCATGGAGATAGAGAGCGCGAGAATTGGGTGCAAAAGTACCTGCGAGGTGCAAGGGAGACGGCAAGGGACTCCCTGCATTGACGACAGGGGATGCACAGTGCATAGGTGAGAAGTGTAACAACAAAACAAGTCAGCTAGGAGGAATAATGCGCGGGGCTGGGAGGGCAAGAGCGTGAGACCTCCTTGTCGAACTCGTGCAGGGCGGAGTCCCGGGTGTCGTCCAGTCGGCGGATGGCGACGGGCGTGTGGTTGATCTCGCCGCGGTACACGCGCCCGCTGGAGCCCTGGCCGATGAGGCGGTGGTCGCTGAAGCCATCAGTGGCGGCGTGCATGTGGTGCAGCGAGTACTCCCGGAACTCGTACTGCAGCATCTCCCTCTCGCCCTGCGCAGCCGCCGCCAGCGCCACCGCCTCTGCCGCTGCAGCGCGCGCCATGTCCACCTCCGCATGCAGCTGCTGCACCATGCACCGCGCCTCGTGCAGCTGGGGGGGGGGGGGATGGGGGGAGGGAATGGGAGGAGGGAGGAGCAGGTGGAGCAGTATGGATGAGGATGCGTCACTGCAGGAGCACAGAGAGACATGAGGATGGGGCGGAGGGATCGAGAGGAGCAGCAAGGCACATGCAGGATGGCAAGGGTTAAACAGACGAGAAGCGGAGATGCGGTGAAGGGTGAGGGAGAGACACAGAGCGGGTAAGTCGAATTGGGCATCACAGGGTGCGAGGCAGTGGCCTGAGCAGGCAGGGGGGCAGGGCGGTATGCAGTGCGGCATGTGAGGGACTGTGCGCACAGCAGCTTGAGCGTCAGGGGGCGCACGTGCGGCTCACCTCCTGTCTCGCCTTCACCACCTCGGACTCGCTCTCTCTGCGCGCTGCTCGCCCTCGCCTCGCCTCCTTGCTGCTCCCCGCCCACCCCTCTGCTCCTTCCTCCACCTCCGACCTTTTGCTCTCCCCGTTACCTTGCTCCCCCTCCCCTCCCTCACTCCGCTCATACCCCCCCTCAACCACCGCCGGCCCTGATTGTCTCTCCGCCCAACTCGACACCGCCGCTTCTCCGCGCCCCTCGCCACTCCCTCGTGCTGATGCGCGCATCTCCCCCGCCGCCTCCGTTAATCTGCCGCGCCCCTTTCCTCCCCTACCCCCCATCTCAACAGCTGCCCCCCCTGCCCCGTTTAACGACCTTCCCCATTGCTGCTGCGAAGCTTCGTGGCGGTGATGGTCAGGAGACGCGGGAAGCGCGGGGTGCGTGCAGGGGGGCGAGGAGTCGGGCGGAGTTAGCCGCGCGCCCGTGTCCGAGTCGGTCTCCGACGGCCGCGCAACCTGGCCGTGCCCCTGCGCGCCACGGCGCGACTGCGACTGCGGCGGGGAGGCGGGGCGGGGATCGGAGGGCGGCGGGGGGCCTTGCGCGATGGCGGGATCAGGGTCGCGGGTAAGCGCGGGGGGGTGGAGCGGGGAACCTACGAGGGAGGAGGCAGCGGAGGAGGAAGAGGAGGAGGAGGATGAGTAAGTGGAGGTGGAGAGGCGGCGGGGGGACGGCTGCACGGCAGGGATGGTGGCGCCGCTGGGGAGCACGAAGGCGGCGGAGGAGGCGCGCTTCTTGGCGGTGGTGACGGCGAGCACGGAGCAGTGGTGCGCGGCCAGGTGGCGCGCGCAGCCGTGCGCGAAGCTGTGGTTGGGGCGCAGAAAGGAGTGGCGCGAGTTGACGACGAGGCGCGACGCCCCCACGCGAATGGCGGCCTGACACAGACCCACGTCGGGCTTGTCGTCGCGCGCCACGTACGCCGTGGCCACGAGCTGCGAGGCGGGCAGGGAGAGGCAGTCCGTGGGAGACGGAAATGGCGAGGGCATGGCATGAGTCGGAGGAGGGAGATAAGGCCGCAGCCAGGAGAAAGAGAGAAGGCGACAGAAGCGAAGGAAATGGACGAGAGGGAAGCGAGGCACGGCGACGAGAGGGAGGAGAGGGAAGCAGAGGACGAGGGGAGGGAGGGCGGCGGCACCTTCTTCTTGAAGTGCAGCTCCATGACCAGCGGCTTCAGAATGGTGTCCATCACGTGCGCCTCGTGAATGTCCGCCACGCGCGACTCCAGCTGGCTCACGCTGTACGATATGCCCACTGCGCGCACGCAGCGAGGGGGAAGCAACGGAACAAACACATTACCGGTCGACCGAACAGCTCCCGGTCAATTCGTGCCGGCCAAAGCAGAGCTCAAGGCCCGTCGTCGGGCAGGCGAGACTAGCATCAGGAGCGAGCAGCGGCGGTGGCACGGCGAGGGGGGATGAACGCGAACGAGACAAGGAGAGTCTCGAGGGCGAGGAGGAAAGGCGCCATGACGCTTACTGGCGCAGGGGACCTCGCTCATGACGTAGACGAGAACCAGCGACACTCGCTGGTTCGCCACCTCTGGTTCCTGAAGCACGAACTCCAACAGCCGGTGCGTGTCCTTGCCCACCTCCACTGCCCACCGCTCCACCACTCCCGGAGAACGCGGGGACCGACCGCCCATCCTTCCCGAAACTTTCCGGAGTGACTGGGTATTGCTCTGAAGCGTCTAAGTGGAGCATGCATGCAGTGGAGCATGTACGCAAGACAAGGGGGAGGGGAGGGGGTTGGGGGGGGGGGGAAGAGATTCAAGGGGGGTGCTCTTTGCAGAGCGAAGGATGGGGCGAGGAGGGGGAGAGGGAGTGGCTTCTGACTGGAGGAACGGGGAAGTAAGGGGGAAACGAGTGAATGTGGTGGCAGTGAGGGAACGTGGCTCCCACTGACCGTACGCGCGGAAAGCTCGAGAAACGACCGTTTGCTTCAGGCTAATATATGCCCGTGTACTCCAGACTTACAGGGAAGCACGCTGACACCCCAAGCCAGGAATTCCTTCTCCAACCAGGGTCTAGTTTTTCGGTGTGGTTCTTGCATGCTCGAGGACACATTTGGAGCAGGGCCTGAGCTAGGTTTTTTTGGGTTGCGTAGCAACCTTATAAATTTGGTTTCATGTTCCCGTGCGCCCGTTTTTTTTTTTTTTTTTTTTTTTTTTTTTTTTTTTTTTTTTTGGGTTGCGTAGCAACCCTTTATAATCGGTCGGTGGACCGATTGTGGTGGACAGATATTGCATTACATATTATTCTATTCTAAATCTTATCAACATAATAACCCATATCATTTTTGGTATCTAAAATTTATCGAGATAATAACTCATATCATTTTGTTTGTTTGTTTGTTTTTTGGGTTGCGTAGCAACCCTTTATAATCGGTCGGTGGACCGATTGTGGTGGACAGATATTGCATTACATATTATTCTATTCTAAATCTTATCAACATAATAACCCATATCATTTTTGGTATCTAAAATTTATCGAGATAATAACTCATATCATTTTGTTTGTTTGTTTGTTTTTTCTAAATCTTACCGAGATAATAACCCATATCATTTTTTAGGGTCTAATGCATCCTTTACTCTAAAGATTTGTATTATATTATATTATATTATTATATTATTATATTATTATTACAAGAGTCTTTTTATTACAAGAGTCTTTTATATTTTTTATTATTAGTATTAGTATTATTTATTGCCACATACGTATTCCCGTTATTATTGTTGTTTGTAGTTTCAAGTGTATGTATTTGTCATGTTTGATCTCTTTGTCTTATTATTATTATTATTATTATTATTATTACCACTACTATTGTTCCTATTACTATTGTCATTTTTTTTTTCTTCTATTCTTCTAATTTTCTATCCATTATTATTATTATACTACTATTGTTAGACTTAGCTAACCATTTTATCGTGCAAGACAAAAATCCATGCTATTTTATTTGATATGTCGGCGATACTCATACCGACATAAAAATATAAGAATAGCATAGAGATTTGGGACAACTATCTAAGCTACCTATGAATGATGAGAGTCTCAAATCATTCACCGTCGATAATTACGGCGGAGAATGATAGAGATACTACATTACAACAGCACAGAATACATTATGGCAAACAAATATTACGAAACAGTAGTGAATGCAACGTAGCAAACGCATCAATGCTTTTGTGTTGATATGCGCGTTATGGGAAGAATATCCCAAACTGGCAACGACAATCGCAATTTGTACTGTGCACTAGGCATACGCTGCGTCGTCTCACTGCACCCACAACAATATGCACTCTCTTAATAACGCATGCCATCGAGCACATTACATAGCAAAATATTACGGGTAGGAAAACGAATGCGTTAATGCTTTCGTGCTACAATAGAGACTGACATGCACGTTATGGGAAGCGAGTCCCCAGACCGGCAACGACAATCGCAAATTGTATACCGCACTAGGCATAGTCGGCATTGTTTCCATGGGGACAATACAATACAACTAGATATGTGCACGACGTAACAATACAATACATGTAAAACATATGCACAAGATACGGCAAACATCATTGACAACAAAAAATACGGAACAGTAGTGAATACAACGTAGCAAACTCATCAATGCTTTTGTGTTGACATGCGCGTTATGGGAAGAATATCCCAAACTGGCAACGACAATCGCAATTTGTACTGTGCACTAGGCATACGCTGCGTCGTCTCACTGCACCCACAACAATATGCACTCTCTTAATAACGCATGCCATCGAGCACATTACATAGCAAAATATTACGGGTAGGAAAACGAATGCGTTAATGCTTTCGTGCTACAATAGAGACTGACATGCACGTTATGGGAAGCGAGTCCCCAGACCGGCAACGACAATCGCAAATTGTATACCGCACTAGGCATAGTCGGCATTGTTTCCATGGGGACAATACAATACAACTAGGTATGTGCACGACGTAACAATACAATACATGTAAAACATATGCACAAGATACGGCAAACATCATTGACAACAAAAAATACGGAACAGTAGTGAATACAACGTAGCAAACGCATCAATGCTTTTGTGTTGACATGCGCGTTATGGGAAGAATATCCCAAACTGGCAACGACAATCGCAATTTGTACTGTGCACTAGGCATACGCTGCGTCGTCTCACTGCACCCACAACAAGATGCACTCTCTTAATAACGCATGCCATTGAGCACATTACATAGTACAATATTACGGGTAGGAAAACGAACGCGTCAATGCTTTCGTGCTACAATAGAGACTGACATGCACGTTATGGGAAGCGAGTTCCCAGACCGGCAACGACAACCGCAGATTGTATATTGCACTAGGCATAGTTGGCATCGTTTCCACGGGGACAATACAATACAACCAGGTATGTGCATGACGTAACAATACAATACACCATAGAACATATGCACAAGAGACGGTAAACACAATTGACAACAAAAAATTCGGAACAGTAGTGAGTGCAACGAAGCAAATGCATCAATGCTTTATGTGCATGATGTGGCAATGCGGTACGTAGAAAACACAGGCATACCACGTGGTACACTGTTGACCGAATGATAGATCAACGTGATAGTACATTACAGGGATACATATGGAAAGAAATAGGTTAACACAAAAGTATGGTTATAAAAAAATGGAAAACATATGACCCATTATCTTAAGATGCTACCTTGCCCAAGTCTTAGACCCTGCACTCACCTTCCCCACCACCCCACCCATTCCATTCCTCCCCAATCATCCCCCTCCCCTTCCGTTTCCCCTGTCACGTTTCGCTGCTACTCATTGTATCAATTTCATTCAAGTTGTCCGAGTAAGTGGACGACCATCCACCTGAAAGGGATGGAAAATAGTAGAAAAAATGTGTATAATATAATAATATGAAGATTTCAGTGGACAAATTATATGTATCGATGACTTACTCTTAGAGACGACGGTGAACCTTCGCAGGAGTTGTCGGATGTACGGCATCAGTGTTGGTACCAATCCGCTTGTTATTGTCATTTGTTGATGGGATGTCCTAAGCATTATCCAGTATAGCAAGACAGGATGTCGATGGTAAAGTTTAGTTCAAACGAAAAACAATACACGGTATGTAAATATACAAAAGCGACATGGTGATTATACTCACAGTATGAAAGGGGCGATTGAGTGAAATTATCGACCTTGTGACCCCATCCCAGATGCCACATACTTTCACCTGTGAGCATAATATGGATAAGACAAGCCAAGAGAGAAGTCAAACGTGACTAAAAAATTTGTACAAAACACAAATGACGAATTTGTTGGTATGAATAACAACATGCTGTTGTGTTGTTATATTCCTTACTTGGATGAGCCATCTTCCAATAAGACCAGTCAGCATTTCGTGTTTCTGTTCGTTGTCTGCCATGCTGAACTCAATGGTACAAGCATTCGGAATAACTTGCTTGATCGCCTCCAATTCGATCTTTGCCAGTACGCCCTTGCGAATCCCGATTTTTTTGTCACGCACTGGAAAAAGAGCGCACGTATGTGTAGAGGTAAGATGTGTGTCGTATATTTAGCTGAAGAACGTGATAATTATGAGTATCATGTACAATAATTTAGGCATTAACTACTAACCTTCCTGATTGTCGAATGTGACTCCAATCTCAGTGAAACACTTGGCATCCATCTCCTCGTGTCCCGCGCAGCACTTCCATCGTTCGCTGGTGTAAAAGTAGCGAGCATTGCGACCGCAAACACCCCCCCTTCAACTGTGTCATCATGAATACAGCGTTGTCCTGCATTGACAACAAATCCGGTGATCGTGCCGCGTGTAATGGCCACATTTTCGTTCCGCCTTGCACGAGCGTGATCTTCCACGCCGGCAAGCCTGCAACGAAAATGTGCATGGTGTTCAGCTTCAATAAATGACCGCACAGTGCTAAGGATATCTGAGTAAGATTGAAAATAATAACTTACGAAGCAACTTCGCCCCAATCCTCACAAACAGGTGCAGTGTTGCTCAAGTTCGGCGCAATGCGAGCGATTGCATCATCGTCCGTGATTTCAAGGACTTGGGATCTGAAGGTCACAACAACGAGTAGAAATATATACATTACGTAAATGAAGATAAAATTGTAAAGCAAGTCAATAGTGAACACATATAAACAATGCAGGACGGAGAAAATATAAAGTATGGGATCATAAGGAGATTGGTTTAGTGACGAGACACTAGGCATTGTTAACGGACCTTGGTGACGTCAGAACTTGGCGGTTCGATATGTAGATTCCCGTAAGCCATACAAATACATGAACGAGCTGGTAGTGAATACCCTCCTCAAGCGCGTGCCTTTGCACAATCTGGTTCAGTGCAACGGCTGTTTTACCCAATGCAGTGAACCCGAATGAACCACTATGGTCCCGAATTTCGCAGATCACTCGTTGCGTGGTGCTCGGGAAAAATGCACGCATGGTAAGCTCCACCTGGAACGATGCGGGCTATGGACATTGGAATAGTGAGTGCCATACAAATGTAAGAAGGGTTGGACACGATTTTACTACGTACATAGATACTGCTAAATCAATGCAATTGGTTGCGAAGTGACACATCAATGATGAAATCTATACTCGTAACAATAACACAAAACACATTGATGTATGCAGAAGCCAAAGCGGTCAGTGGGGTTGGAACGAATGTCAT